CCTGTCTTCTCCAAGAAAGAGCCCCACCCTGTCATGACCCAGATGTACCTCGATAGGTTCCTCACCAAGGCCTCTGACATCGACCTGCACTGTCCTCTGACCCCAATGTTTCGTAAGGTTCTCAGGCGTGCTCGTCACTCTGCTCCTGGTGTCGACGGGCTGCCTTATGCGGCCTGGTCGGCGTGCGACTACGGCGCCCAGCACCTGGCCAGAATGTTCGGATGGCTATGCCAAGGTCAGTCGTTGTTTGCCTCTGCCAGCGTCACCCTCCAGGCGTTCCTCCCCAAAGGTGCTGATGACTCAGATCTGCCGTCTGGGGTTTGTTCTCGGTCTCCCGATAAGATACGGGTCCTGGGGCTGCGTAACACCGACGTTAAGATCCTGAGCTCGGTCATGAACAGGGTCCTCGAGCCTGTCGTCCAAGCCGTTGCACCTGCTTCCCAGAGAGGCTTCATTAGAGGACGAAATTTTTGCTACAACGTGCTTGAGCTGGATGTCCATGCACGGCTTGCATCGCAACATCCCCTAGCTGTGCGTCGTTACCCTGTCCTCGTCGGGTTCGACTACGGGCAGGCCTTCCCGAGCTTGTCGCAGTCCTTCCTGCTACAGCTATTGGGCTCTCTTGGGCTCCCCGCCGAGATTCTCGCTTTTGTGGGCTGGATGTATTTGGCTGTTGAAGGTGTGGTCCTGGATGGGGGATGCTACTCGACCATCTTCTGGATCCGCTCGGGCATCATCCAAGGCTGTGGTCTCTCGGGGTCTTTGTGCGCTCTCGCCTCCTCCCCCATGTTGGCCGACCTCGAGCGGAGTATTGAGCAACGTCAGTTGGGAATATGCCGTGCCTGTGCCGATGATCTAGGCGCTGTCCTGTATGAGCTAGCCTCTCTGCGCATCCTGGTGCGGGTCCTCGGTGCCATGGAAAAGATTGCGGGCCTCAAGATTAAGATCAGCAAGTGCACCCTGGTCCCTCTCGTCGGCCGCATGACAGAAACCCTGAAAACCATGACCCAGACCCAGCTGGCTTCTATCGCGAGTGACTGGTCAGGCTTTGCCGTTGAGGGGTGGTTGCTTTATCTTGGGATGATCTTGGGCCCAGATGCGACGGTCGACATGAACTGGAGGGGCCCGCTTATGAAGGCACGATCTCGCTCTCGGATGTTGGGACGTGGGATTGCGTCAGTCTGTACGAATTGTATCTTGTACCGCACGCGGGTCTACCCCTGTTTGGCGTATGTAGCCCAATTCCTCCCTATGCCCGAATGGTTCCTTCCCATTGAGCGTGGTGCCATCGCCCAAGTTCTCCGTGCTCCTCTTGGCCTCTTTTCGAACGAATCGATCCTGGAGCTCCCGGCCTGGGGTGGTCCTCAGATTCCATCGTGGGCTGCCCATGCTACTGCAGCTCACCTACGTGCTGCTTTTCACACCTTCCAGGGCTTTGAGGAATACTTACGGCTACTGCGACAAACGGCTTCTCTTTGGCACAGAGAGGTTGTGGAAGGGAAGTTTGATGATATCCCCTTGGCTGCTGTGGATCGCTCCCGTGTTTATCCATCTTTCTGGAAATCCCCTGCGTTCGTCGAACACCTTGAGCTGGTCCACGTGAGGTCTCAAGAGCCCCTACTCGTCGCCGCTCGCTCTGCCATGCGTGAGGAAGCTCAGGTTACGACACGAAGGCCCAAGCTGCAACGTGCTGCTGCCCGCTCGTTGGGTCAGAACATGTGTACGCACAAACCTCTACATGCCATGCTGATTCGCCACTTAACCCCGTTATTCACAGCTTACCTCCCCTTCCTCAACCTGATCCACTGGCCCGCTATTCAGGAGCTTTTGGCATTGGTTCCGCAAAGCTGGGCGATGGCAGCCTTACGGACTTGGGGGCATGGATGGCTGACATCACATAGGATTATCCACCCGAGGGGCAAACTTCGCTGTCGTTTCGGATGCCCTGGCCCTGATCGGCTGCAACATTATCTGCGCTGCCCTAAATTGTACCTGGCAGTCTGCAAAGGTCTACAGCGTGCCCTGCCTCGCCCCCTGGCTCAGCGTCTTGGCCTTACCCACCCCCACCCTGACCACTTCGAAGCTCTCTATGTCTATTACCAGGTCTTCAACTATGCTCGGCAAGGTGCTCTAGTGTCGACTCCCCGTCAGTTGCGTGGTTATGTTGAGGCCGCCGTCCGCACCTCTCGTCTGGCCAGGCCTTCAGCCAAATTGAAACGGTGGGAACCTCCTCCCGCTGTCCAGACGATCCGCCGAAGGCAGCCTCAGTGGGATGTGCTCACCTCATCGTCCACCTCCTGTTTGAGTTCAGATGCTGCGGCCCCCATCCCTGACCTGGTCCCTTCCACCCCGTGTGACGACGATGTGATACATAGCGCTGATGAAGCTGGCCAACCTGTTCCCCATCCAGTGTCTCCTGTGCCCATTCCTGCTGGCGCTTTGGCTCAGTGCGAGGCCCTGCCCTCAAGGCAGGTCGTCAACGGGCGGGCGTCCGCTCCTGCTGCCACCTCGCCGCGACCTGCGGCATCCATGTTCCCATGGCCGCTTGCCGCCACGGTGGCGCTCTCCGCGGTCCATGCAGCGTCGTTGTCTGTCCCAGCTGCATGTGAGGCGGATGTTACTCGGCTTGAACGTGAATATCGTGCGACCATCAAGCGTGTCGAACGCCTTCGTGCTGGTGGGCTTCCTGTTCGTGAGGACCCTTCTCTCCCTGAACAGTTGCGGTGTCTGGACGATGCCACCTCGTCGAAGCCGACGCCGTCACCGAGTACTCACATCCTGCGTCTGGCGGGCCATCCACATTCTTCCTCTGTGGAGCATGCAACACCTGTTGTCTTTGGCGAACGTATTGCACCAAGGGCTACACGCTGGATCTTGCGCTTGGATGACTCCGAGAGCGGCCGTGCCGACTGGTTGATGTGGTGCATCCCATACGTACGTGCCAAATTTGAGGCGATGGAATGGGTGGATTCGTCTGGTTGGAGTGGTGCTCTCGACGAACTCGCTCGTCATATCTGCATGGTTGCCTGGGACACCTCTACCGAGGGGCGCCTCAATACTGTAGATTACTTTCGGTGGCTGAATGACCCGCGTAACTCCTTGACGCGGCACGGGCTCTGGGAAGAGATGGTGGATCGACATTTCCAAGCCCTTCGTGAGATTCGCAGAGAGATGAGGCAATACTTGGGACCCGCTGCACCACACCGTATTCGTGACTTCCTTGTGGACAGCAATGGAGACGAGTCCCTGCCCATCGTTGCTGCCAACGGGTCGGTGCACTACTTTGCCTCACTCGTCTCAGCAGTGGATCCCGATGATGGTGATGCCGCCGATGGTGATGGTGACGTTGACCATGCCTCTTTCCTCCTCCAGGTCTCGATCGCAGGGTGCTCCTCGAGCCCTGCGGCCACTGGCGTTAGAACGCGGAGGTCGACCGCCTCTGATGGAAATAACGGCTCTGGAGTAAGTTGTGAGCTTGCGTCTCGAGTTCGGAGGTCGACCGCCTCTGTTTTAAATAAGGGCTCTGGAGTAAGTTGCGAGCCTGTGTCTCGAGTTCGGAGGTCGACCGCCTCTGTTCTAAATAAGGGCTCTGGAGTAAGTTGCGAGATCTCGTCTCTTGTGCGGAGGTCGACCGCCTCTGATGGAAATAAGGGCTCAGACATCGAGAATTGCGCCTTCTTCGTGAATCGCGCCGACGTCGAGTGTTGCCCCGTCATGGTGAGTTGCGCCGTCTTCGAGAGTTGCGCCGTCTTCGAGAGTGTCGCCGTCAACGAGAGTTGCGCCGTCTTCGAGAGCTGCACGCCATCCTCGAGAGTTGCGCCGTCTCGGAGAGTTACGCCGTCGTCACGAGCTTCTCCGTTGTGGACACGGATCGCCTCTCTCTTCGCTACTACCCCGTGCTCGTTTTCCCCGACCTGGCCGTGTTCGACGGCTGCCGCCCCTTCGTTTGCGCCCTGTCCGTCGCTGATGGCGGGACCCTCCTCTTCGATTTCGCCCCCGACGAGAATTTCGTCGTCATGGTCATGCAGTGCTACTCTATCTTCTTCTATTGATACGAGTCCTGGTACAGGAGTTGGGGGCACCCTCAGATTGCCCTATGTGTGTGAGTGCCGTCGGAAAAGGCTCCTGTTGCCCATTTTCCTCAGGCGCCCGAGCCCGAGGCACCTGCATAGTGGGCGGAAGTACAGGCGTAGGTTGTCTTCCCAACGGGGGGCGCGGTGCGAGTGGGGACTGCCCGGCGGTGCGCCGTTAGTGACCCTCGCACCGTTGCTCCCCGGCCCCGCGCACGGCGCGGAGAGTGCCCCGTGTTGGATGAGGGTCTCTCTCTCGTCCCTTTCCTTTTCGAGGCGTGTTCGTGATTCACCTGCACGCTCTCGGCACTGTCCTCACTGCTCTCTGCGTCTCGTCTCGGTCCCATCTTGCGTTCTCGCTCCCCCCTGCACTCAGCATCCTCTGAATAAGAATGATATAAATTCGACGGCTATCCGCTGCACATCATGGGCTGCAGCGTCGGCGGCCTCAGCTACAACAGCTTCGACAGGAGGCGTGCCCATGCTGCCTCAGGCGCCGTGCTAGGCGCGGGGAGCTGACCTCTGGGTACGCTGGTCTCCTCCTCCTCCTCCTCCTCCTCCTTTCAGGAGGGAGATTCACAGACACAATTCATCGTCGATCCCCAGGAGCATATCGGAAAATATAAAAGGGTTGGGGGGACGAAACTCAGAAAATATGGGAAGTACGGAAAATCCTTGTATTTTGTTTGTGTGTGCGCGTGTTTATTTATGTTGATGACCATGGTCGTCCAGGATACCCCAGCGGGCGCAGCTCAACGGGGAGGATGGCTGGGAGGGGCAGGATCCCTCTCTCCCCCCTCCCCGCTTCCTACGCCCCCCGTCCCCCCAGCGCCCCTGCGACCCCTCTGGCTGCCCGAGACAACCGAGCGCTCTGCCCCGCGACGCCCCCCCCCCCCCCCCCCGAAACGTGCGAGAGCTCTGCCCCGCCAGGGGCGCCAGCCCCGCCGCCCCCGCCTCCGCACCTGGGCACGGTGCTGGCCGTGGTGCGGGCGGAGGCGCCGGCGTTGCTCAAGCGCACGTTCGGCCACGTGACGTCGTGCCTCTGCGGGCAGTGACGCGGCCCCCCCCCTTCCCCACGCCTTCGGCCGCGGCGTGGCCAAACAAAATGGCACGCGGATGAGGAGGAGAAGGAGGAGGAAGGAAACGAGGAGGATGAGGAGGAGACGGAGGGGGCGGAGGCGGCGTTGGAGGAGGAAGCGGAGGAAGAGGAGGACAACTAATAAGTATAATAATGAACATAATAATGCAGTCACAGCAATAACAATAAATGGAATTGGATTAAGAATAATCATACTAATAATGCTAATACCACTACTGGTAATGTTTAAAATAATAAGGATGATGCTGATTAGTCCAACGATAATATTAACAATAAGACTGATAATAATATTACTAATAAGACTAATGACATTGATATTTATACGAATAAGAGTAGTGCCCAAACTATACATCACACTAGCAATAGTACTACGAATGATAATCACAATCATATTCGTAATAATAGCAATACGAATAATCCTTGTAGTAGGAATCGGAGGAGGAGGAGAAGGGGGAGGAGGAAAAGGAGGAGGAGGAGGAGGAGGAGGAGGAGGAGGAGGAGGAGGAGAAGGAGGAGGAGCAGGAGCAGGAGGGAGGAGGAAAGGGAGGAGGAGGGAGGAGGAGGGAGGAGGGAGGGCCCTGCTCCTCCCCCCACCTCCCTCCCCCCCCCCATTTCCCGTGGTGTGGTCAGGTTGGGCTCAAGTTCGCAGCCGTGCCGGCGCCGGAGCTTGGCGCCGGAGCCTGGGCTTCTGTCGGGCGTGTCCCCCTACAGGGGCATTTTCGACGAAGAATACAATATCCCAAAGATGCCCCAAAAAGATCAAACGATATTCAAAAAATGGTGCCCCGACTATGTTCGGACTATTTTTTTTGATCAGTTTTGGTGTATTTCTTGCATTTTTCGTCGACAGTCCCCCTGCAGGGGGCCAGGCCCGACTTCAGCCTGGGCCCTGGTGGCCGCGCGGCGGCGGGGGGGGGGCGACGCCGCGGGGCGGGGCCCTCGCGCGGCACCGGGCGCGGGGCGCTCGTGGCGGCCCGGGTGCTCCCCACCGTGGCCCCACCAGTCCGCGGACGGCATGTCTTCAGGAGGGGAGCGAACACCAAGGGCTCCCTCGAGGGCGCGAAGTTATTCGCGCTTCGCGCTTCGCGGTCCTCGTTCCTTCTCCCCCTCCTCCTCGTCCTCCTATTCTCCCTTTGGGGGGGCGGCGCGAGAGCGCGAAGGTATTCAGGAGGAGAGCGAACATCACCACCCACCAAACCACCCCAACCCAACCCGAAGGCCCAAATTTATCCTCGATTTCCAGTGGGGGGGGGGTCGGGGAACGTTGAAAAAACACGGGGTATCCGTACCCCCCCCAACCCGAAATTCGGGTCAAATTCGGGTCTTCGGGTGGGGTTGGGGTGGTCTGGTAGGTAGTCAGAACACACAGACGCAATGAATCGTCGATCCCAATAGACATGGAGGAAAATCGGGGAAGCGTGGGGGAAGGCGCAGATCCAGAAACTGTGAGAAAACATTGGCGCCTCTCTGCTCGTGTGTCCCAGGGCCCCTTCATGGGTATGTACCGCGCCGCGCTGGCGTCTCCCGAGGCGGCGGCGGTATTCGGCCCGGGAGCGGTGCGGTGCGTACTGCGGGTGCGCGCAGCAAGAACCCGGGTGCTCTCCGTCGGGGCACCCTGCCGTCTCACCGCCTGCTCTCGCTGATTGGCATGTTTTCCACCACCACCACCAGAAGTTGAAGCGGGGGGTCCTCCTCATCCTCCTCCCCCTCCTCCTCCTCCCACTCCTCCTCCTCCTCCTAATCCTCCTCCTCTTCGTCCTCCTCCTGGCCCTCCTCCTCCTTCCCCCTCCAACTTATGGTGGTGGTGGTGGAAAACAGGCTCATCACTCGCGGCAGCCGGAAAGTGCCTCGGCACTGCCAGGGTCCAGGATGCTGTTGCCCGTGCACGCTGTGGTAGTGTTCCGCAGCACGCGGTGGCATTCACGGGCACGCCGCAGTGCTCGCGGGCATTTCTCGTGCGCTCACGGATCACAAGGAGGAGGAGGAGGAGGAGGAGGAGGAGGAGGAGGAGGAGGAGGAGGAGGAGGAGGAGTTGGAAAGGTGTGCGCGGCGACAGACATCGTCTCTTACAGCCGTTAGCAGCAGAAGAAGGAGGAGGCGGAGGAGGAGGAGGAGTTGGAAAAGGAGGAGGAGGACGGGGGACAAGGGGAAAAGGGATTCCATCGCAGGCTGGTGTAGGGAGGCCGGGGAGACGCGGTGTACACAGGCACTTGGCGCTCACAGGCGCGCCTTGGTGTTCGCACGCTCCTCTTGTGCTCAATGGTCTTGGGTTATATTGCGCATGTAAGTGGTGTTGTGTCTGTTGATCGCAAGCACACTGTGATGTTCGGACGCACGTCGTGGTACTAGCAAGCTGTCATGGTGCCCAACGGCATGTCGTGGAGCCCGAAGGCGAATGTGCAAATGACCAAGTCAGGCATCCTGTTGTGCATACGTGTGTAGCTGTTGTTGGTCGCGGGCGCTCTATTGTAATGCTCGCGCGCGCGCTGTGGTGCTCTCAGGCTGCCCTGGTTCTCGTAATCACATAGTAGCGTTGCTTGGCGATCATGGTGTTGGCAAGGCCTGGCACACTCATGTACATGCATGTGTTGTTCGTTTTCGCAGGCGCAGAATAGTGCTCACAAACACGTTGTGGCGCTCTTCGCAGGCTGTTCCGCTGCTCGCAGGCATTGTGCTGGCCGCAGATCGTTGCGGTACCAGCGAAGTCCGGCGTATTGTTGTGCATGCGTGTGCTGGTGTTGCTTGTATGCGCACTGCTGTTGGCATGCGTGGCGTTATACTCCCAGGCTGTTTTGGTGGTCACAAGCATTGCGGTGTTCGCATATTGCCATGGTACCCGCAAGACCCAGCATATTGTTGTGCATTCGAGTATGGTTGTTGTTGTTATTGAACTTCCATTGCCGAAGAATGATTATTGCTGACCCTCCCTGCGGTGACTTTTGTGTTTGTTCCAGTTGAAGTGCTTCCCCCAGGGCTCGCACCCTGTTACTTATTAGGGGAAGTCACTAGGCTCAAACTGCGCCCTTGGCCCCCCGGACAACAACGACAACACTCATTCCAAGACTGTTCGCTCTTACCGGCACCGCGTGTCGTTCATTATGCATATCCCAAGCCCTGGATACCCGCCCTCTTCGTCTTCGATCGTACCTCCTTTTGGGGGGGTATATTCCTTCCTGGCCACGTGTAATTGGAGAAGCCCCTAAACAGGGAAACGGCAGGGAAAAGCCAGAACGAGAGGACGAAGGGATCGGAGGAAGGGAGGGATTAGAGGGGCAAGAGGGAGGAAGACGATGATTTGTGCCGCGAGTTACGGCTCAGCTTGCGCCAGCCATTCCGACACAGGTTCACAAAGGCTTGTAGTGGTATAGTCAGGGGCTGCCTGACCTCTGAGCCCTAGGAGGCGCATCGGACCCCCTAGGGAAATGGTAAATTGCTCAGGGCGGACGCTATTGTCGCCCTCAGAGCGCACTGATTACCTGGAGCGCGAAACTACACAGGGCAGGCCAGGTGGGACGTATTGTCCCCTACCGGCACAATGATGCTACATAGGAAGTGTAGTTCACAAGAGTAAACTTGTGCAACCATTTGCTCCTTTTGTGAAATGTTCACAAGGCTTGTTGGAGCCGCCGCGGCCTATGCTTCACAAGAGCGCACCTTGTAAAATGTTGCCTAGCCACGCCGCAGAGAGAAAGGAGACAAATATGGTCCCCGCCTCAAGACAAAATGTCAACGAGGACTGTACAAAGGGTCAGCTGTCAAGACGAAAAAGGTGACCCCTAACTGCACAAGGAAGTTCGAAAAGGCATGCAAGTCAGTAGACGAGCGTGTTGACGTCGATTTGCGCATCACGAATTCGTTGCCGATGACGCCGTCAGAGAACATGACTCTACAGAGCAGACCTGAGCAGCGCAAGCCAGGGACACGATCCACAGACCAGGGTTTCTCAGTGGGTCTCTCACCCCCGCACTGAGATGGTCGACGCCCTCAGTGGGTCTTTCACCCCCGCACTGAGACGCCCGCCAGGCCTCGAAACCTGGAGCGCAGAAACGCCGAGTCTATCCAGACAGACGTGAACCTTGGCCCTGGTGCCAACGAGTGCACTGCAACATCCACACAAAAGCGTCAAGCTCACCAGAAACAAACACCAGCGGTCCCAGCGCGGTGGCTGGGTCGACACCGACCGTGAATCAGCATCTCCCTCATGTCCCCCAGTCAAGAGGGTCTGTAGACGCGACCGCAGAGACCTCTCACATCCGCAGACATAGCCGATCGCCCCTGCCGCATGAGGTACACGGCGTAGAGGGGTAAGGCGCTCTCACCGCCCGCCCCCCGGTTCACAAAGGCTTTGCCATGGGCCACGCCATCAACAGCGCCATGTTACACCCCCGGTGCTGCTCGGCGAGGCGTTGGAGGCGAACGTGGTGCCCAATGCCATCCGACGTGCGAGGGAGAGGGAAGCGGAGGGAGGGGGGAGGTGGCCCGGGAGGAGGGAGGAGCAGGAAGGTAAGAGCGCGAGCGTTCGGAGAAGTCCCAGGCGAAAGCGCCACTCCACAAAGAAATCTCGGACGGCAGCCCACGACGGGCGGGCGATCCTCTGACGGGCGGGTCGGGCGGGCGGGACAGAGTGAGAGCACGATTCCTAAATAAAGTGCGGCGGCGTCGTTGGCGCGAGCGTGGTGCCTGAGCGCAGGTAGCGCGATGTCTGAATAAACTGCAAAAAAGTCAGAGGCGAAAGCGCAATTCCTGAACGGGGGATGTCTGGCGGGAGCGGGGATCTAGACTAAATCGCAAGGAAATCTGAAGCGGGGGCGCCGTTCTTGAGTACATTGTGAGGAAGCCTCAAACGGGAGGGGGGGTCCTGATTATATCGCGAGGATGCCACAGGCGGGAGCGCCGATCTCGAGTAAATTGGGAGGAAGTTTAGGCGGGAGTGGGG